TAATCCAGCCTGTTACTCTGTGTCTTTTTATTGATTAGTTTAGTCCATTTACATTTAGAGTTAATATTGGTTTGTTGGCATCTGTATTTGCCATTTTGTTTGCCTTGTGATTTTATTCCTTGCTTTATTCTGTTCTTATTATTCATTCCTCTGTTGCTTTTGGCTTTAGGACTTCTTGTAGAATTTTGTGGTTTGGAGGCTTAGTTGTAATAAATTTCTGGAGTTTTGATGTCAGCCTAATTGGTTTTCCCTTACAAGTTATGTGTTTCTTCCCCCTTGCCCATGTCATTATTTTTTCCTTGTCTTGGATTTTTACAAGCTTACTATTATGTGTCTTGCTGCAGTTTTCTTTTCATTGTGGTAACTGGGTGTTTTTCTCACTCTTACATGTCTATATTCATCTCCTTTTTCACACTTGGGAAATCTTCAGTTATCTCCTTGAAAAATTTCTAGTGCCTTTGTCTCTCTCCTCACCTTCTGGATTGCCTATAACTCATATTTCCTTTTTTCATGGAGTTTGATAATTGTCGTACAGTTTCCTCATTCTTTTTGCTTTGTACCTCTCTCACCTTTGCTCTTGGGTCTTTTTATGTTTGTATCTTCAAGAGTACTGATCTGTTCTTCCATTTCATCGATTCTGTTTTTATTGCTTTTTCAGAGTTCTTATCTTCTTCAGTATTCTTTTAATCTTCTGCGTTTCTTTTATTTCCTTTCTTAAAGGCTCATTTTTGTTCTCTATTTTATTATTTGTCTCATATAATTTTTTTCCTTTTTGTTTTCTTTATGACAGGCAGAGAAGTTCTTTCATGCCATTGTTATTGAATTCTGATTGCTGATTTTCTTTTTGTGATGTGTCCTTTCTCTGTGGGCTTGCTTGGTTATTTATATTTTTCCTTCTCCCTGCTGTTTGCTTTCTAATTAGCTCTATGCATTGATTGGAATGTTGTGCCACTGGTGTTGGTGGGCATCTCTTTGGCGTGCTTCTTCAGGGATGTTGGAAACTATTTACCAGACCAAGTCCAGTACCATTAGGCCTAAACTCCATTAGGGTATTGATTCTGTGGCTTTTTTGTTGGACACTGTCCCTTATGGTTCCCTCCCTTTGTATTTACTCAGTTCCAGAAAGGAATCTTAGAGTCCCTGCCTATCAATTATCAGCTAGCTGGTGATTTTATTCTGGCCACTAAGTGGCACCAGATACCTGTACTTGCCAATTTGTGCTTTTTCCCAGTAGTTCTCTGGGAAATGGAAGTGGGAGGGGAGCACCTCAACACAGGGGCTATTGTTCATGCTGGGTGCTGTCTCTGCTCCATGTTCACCTTGTGCTGTGCCCATAGCTGTTGAATCCCACACTCTGAATTCTGGGCCCTAACTCTAGTTCCAGGACTCTCAGACCCAAAATTCTGGCTGTCACCCTATGCAGTGCCCACTGTTGTGGTATGTCCCACACCCCAGATCCTGTGTCCAGCTCTCATTTCCAGAATGTGGTCTGTCATGTTGGACCTTCAGTAGTCTTGCACCCTGCCTCATTTTCCTTCTCACCTCCATTTTGTTGCTTACCTCCTCTCAGAGCCTGAGGGTGGTTGTAGAATCCCTGACATCCAACTATCAGGTATTTGGTGATTTTGTTCTGATCACTAAGTGGTGCCAGTGACCTTTCCTAGAATCCTTCCAGAATTGTGTTTTTTCCCTGTAGGTCACAGGGAACAGAGGAGGGGTGGGGTGGAGTGCCTCAACAGCATGGGGGTGCTGTGTCTGCCCTGTGCCCTGCCATCATGGGGATCCCATGCCCTAAACTTTGTGGCCCAGTTCTCAGTTCCAAAGCTCTGATCTAGAATGTGGGTGGTAGCCCAGTTCAGTGCCTGAAGATATGGCACCTTTTGCATCCTGATCCTGTGCCCGGGTGCCTGGTCCTTGATTACCCAGTGAGGGTCATTCACCTCAGTATCGGCTCCTGTGCATCTCCTCACAATCCTAGGTCATGGGTGGGGGAACCTTGATAGCCATGATCCGCGTATGCTTTTTGAGAGTGTGAGTGTTTATCCACACAAGCTTAGTAGCTGGCCTTTGTCTGTTTGCAGGTCTCTCCACAGAGTCCCTATCTTCCTCTTATGGTTCTGAGTTTATGATTACCTAATGCCTTTTACTCACCTCTGTGGCAGTTACCACATGGTTCCCTACAGTTTCTGGTCATAGGGTGTGGGTAGTTCACGCAGTAGTTCCTTTTCACTCACTATCCTGCTTGATCTCTAGTTTGTTCTTGTTTTATTCTCCTTTCTGTTGTTTGAAGTGTGCCGGCTTTGTGGGTGGGGAATGGTAGCAGGGTTCTGATGCTTTCCTCTCTTCTTGCCCTCTGTTATTGCAACATCCCTCATTGGGCAGTTTGCCAGCCTCACCTTTATCTTATGTGCCCCCAAGTTCTTGTGGGGAGCTGCCACTTTTTCTCCCTATTAATTGTTTTTATGGGAGAACTTACTTGTAGCATTTCTTCACCACCTTATTGATCAGGTGACTCTGATTTTTTTTGGTCATATTGGATGATACTCTTTCTGTCCATTGATACGTTTCTTTTTTTTGCAGTTATCTTTTCTTTTTCTCTATTAAGGTCTCAGTTGGGAGGGGAAAGGATAGGGAGATAACTGGGCTTCCAGTGCGGTGGTGGGCATGGCTACAACCTGTGCAAATAGTCCTTGTACTTCCCCGTCTCCCTCTGAACCCAGACAGGATCTTTCCCTGCTTAGATCTCGCCTCATTGAAACTGATTTTGTCATTCCTCCCCACCTCAGGATTGCAGGTCTCTGTGACATGCTGCAAATTTTGACTGGAGCACAGATTTACTTATTGTGGGAGGTGACAGAGCAAAGTTTGTAGTCCTCCAAACTGCTGTTCTGCCAATCTCAGTGACTCCCAGATTTAGTTGTGAACTTTCATTCCCTGTTGTGATTTACACTAGGGCTTTGAGTGTGGGCATTCATTCTGTCTCTGCCCTCTCTCAGTATGGTTTTGGATAGATCTGGTGTCCCATCATCTCCCTTGCCATTGCTTCACTACTTTCAGGAGCCCCAATCTACTCACTGACTGATACACATATCGATCAGTCTGTCTGGTATCTTGATGAATTGTACAGTAGAGCCCTCTTCCAGTTTTAGTTTTCTCTATTTGTTGCAGTTTAAAGGGGAAGAATTTTGGTGAGACCATGGTACTCTCCCATGATTCTGAGATCAACTACATGAGATCAACTACATGAGATCAATGTTGTTGACAATACACTTTATATTTAGCTTTTCTCTAAACACTATCAGAGGAATTTTGGGCATTCAAATGAATAAAAACATACTCATATTTAGGCTTTTTGAAAGTTGGCACAACATATTATTTTTATTTATTTTGGTAGAGGCTTTTGAGAGTTAACTTTAAAATGGGAGTTCTTGGAAAATGGGAAGATTTCTTGCCAGCTTCTATGAGAAAATATTTTCTGTGTCAGGATTAGACTAGAATGATTTGGCTACTTTTAATAAGGAAGGGAATTAAAGTAATATCTAGCTTTCTGCTACTCAAAATGCTCATTTGTCAACTCCTAACTGCTGCCAATAAGGGTGAAAATTGCACCAGAATGTAAATCTACACAATATTTCTTTCATGGAGAATGATTAATTAAAAAATGGCTAATGGAATAGTCAATTTTCATTTAGTTGTGAGTTCCCTTTTGTTTACACTCTTCTTGGACAGGTAGTAATCTATAGGGCACATTTCAAGTATCACTTATCTAGTCAGTGCAGTCATTTTCAGATGAGCACTTTGAACCCTCAAAATAAATGAGATTTAAGTGACATTTTATACCTATTCAGCTATAGAGCTAATTTAGTAGAATTCAGATAACATGAGTACAACCAAATACAGTGTCCTTTCAAACATACCATATAACATTTGGTGGATAGTGCACATTGGAACTGATTTGAAAAAAAAAAAACCACTAAATTATAAAACATACAAATATTTGTCTCAAGTATTTGAATTTTTAAAGATAATTTTGTTCTATTTTTTGTTGAAGTATAATTTACCTGTAGAATTATATTAGTTTCACGTATACAACATAATGATTCAATATTTGTATACATTTCAAAATGAACATTACAATAAATTCGGATAACATATATCATCTTATATATTAGCAATAGTCATCATGCTAGGCCTTACATACCCATGACATTAATTTTATAAGTAGAAGATGGTAATTTTGACTTCCTGCACCCATTTCTCCTGTCCCCCACTCCCCACCTCCATCTCTGGCAACAACCTGCCTATTCTTTTTGTCTATGATCTTGTGTTTTAAATTTTTAGATTCTACATATAAGTGACATCTTTGAATATCTTGATTAAAACTAGTTTCCAATACATAGAAAGCTGTTTTTTGGTATTATTCAGAATGAAGTAATAGAAATATTATTCACTCTGATTTTTGCTCTAGAAAATATTCTTGTTTATAAATGCATTCTAAAAGGTAAAGGGAAAAATAAGTAATTTCTGTGATAGGAAAATTGGATGATGTTATTTTTTTTAAAATTGAAATTTAATATTGCTACATCAACTTTCAATGATTTTTATATTAAAAAAATTCCCTTCCTTCCTTCTTGCTTTCCTGCTTTTTTAAAGATATATTTTGCACAATCAAAAGAATTCAATTTAAGTGTATAGTTCAATGGATTTTGGTAAAGTATATGGTTAGATAACAACCCTTTACAATTAAATTTTAGAACATTTCCATAATTCTTGAAAAGTTGGGTCATGTCCTGTTGCATTTAATCACCATCCCTATTCCACCCCCTGGCTTTTTGCCCAAGACAACTGTTTTCATTGCTATGATTTTTCATTTTATGGAGTTCATAGAATTGAATCAAATATTATTCAAGATTTTGTGAATAATTTTACTTCAGAGTTACTCAGTTTAAAAGAATTAAAGTTGTGCTTATCCTTCAACATGACATTCTTTATAATTTTAGGTCCTGGATTTTATAATATAAATAATACTGTAACTGACAACTTAAGTAATACCTTCCTGAAGAAACAAGAGAAAGGTGCATTTGGGTCTTGTGTTCCTAGGACTTTTTCTATGTTTCAGAAAGAAACATTCACTACCCCTGGACCTGCTGAGTATCAGGTAATATGTGAATACCAAATAATATTATTTTATCAAATGCCAAACTTTTAATGTTGTTTTCAAAACTAAATGTGATGTATAGGACTCATTATAATAGTCCATAATACTATTATTGTAATTGCTATGGCAGAAGTAAAATTTAATTTGTTTCATAAATTGTTTTTGATTTCTTCTAAAAATGGACTTTATTCTTTATCCCTTTGAGAATCTTATGTATGTATCTTTCAATAATTATCTTCACCTTAAAATTGCTCTAACATTATCTCAGAATGAATTTATTTCTTTTACAAAATAGGTCTTTGTTAAATGTTCTTTGAAGGTTTATAATTTTTGTGTGGAAGCCTTATACATTTTATTTCAATTACTTCCTCAGTATATTATTTTTAAATATTCTACTGTAAATGGTACCTTTTAAATACTTTTATTGTTTAACTTTTGGTTATTGTATAAGGAAATCTAATAGTCTTTATTAAATATTAGCTTTACCCATGATCCATATTTTATTGTTAAATTCATTGATTAATTATACCAATTTTTAGTCAGTTTTTTATTCAGACACAATTATGCCTTCTGTGAATGACAGCTTCTTAATTTCCCCAATTGTTTCATCTTAAATATAAAAATTTTGACTCACTACACTATTTATCCCAGGACAAACCTCAAAAATATTTAAGGGAGTGCCTCCCCGGTGGCGCAGCGGTTGAGCGCTGGTTTGCAAAGCTGCCCACAGACTCTGTGACTCCAGTTGGATCCCCAGCTGATCCCTGGCCACCAGAGGAGGGTCCCGCATGGCGCACAGACCTCTCCTGCCGCCCGCTGCTCCCCTCAGCAGTGTACTCTGGTCCTTCTGCCTGCTCTGCTCCCCGCTCTGGCTCTGGTGAATTCTCTCACCTTCCTGTGCTTCTGACTGTACCCAGTGCTTGTATATATAAATAAATAAATCAATCAATCTTAAAAAAATATTTAAGGGAAATAAAAATTATTCATCATCTGGCAAGTTAAAATTCAGAGTGTGGCTTCCATTAAAATTTTATTAAGTATGACAAGAAGCAGAAAAATTCAACCCAGAATGATGAGAAAAACATCTCACAGATGACGGAAATAATAGATGAGGACTTTAAGCAGCTATTTTAGCTATATTCCACATGTACAAGAAAGTAGAAGCAAGATTGAGTTTAGTATGTAGATAAGTGACACAAACGTAATAGACCAAAATTGAAGTTCTAGATATGGTGTGGCATTGGAAAAAAAAAAAAAGTGCTCTGTTTTTTATTCAACAGCTGAGTGGAAAGTTCACAGGAAAATATTTGTAAACCTGAAAGGGATAATGAAACTATCTAAAATGAAACACTGTAAGGAAAAGAATTCAACCAAAACACTAATTCTAAAGGAAACCTGTACTCCTATGTTTGGAGTAGCATTATTTACAATAGCCAAGGTATGGAAACAACTTAAATGTCCCTGTACAGATAAATGGATGGTCATATAGTGTGTACACACACACACACACACAGAGTACTTCTTCAGCAATTAAAAAATTATATACTCATGCAATTTTAGGCAACATGAGTGGAGCTTGAAGATACCAGCCTGGGCCCTGCAGCATCCTTTGCTATATTAGGGATACTAAGTAACCACCAGTAAGTGCTCTTGACTCCAGGCCCAACCAACAGTGCCTCAGGAGCAGAAAGCCGTAGGTTCAGCCTTGCAGGACCTAACTTTTCATGAAGAACACCAGTCATACCAAGGAAATGGATCTCATTTATCACTCTGCCACCAGCACATCAAGAACAGACACATGCTCCAGTCCAGGCTTTTGAAGGTCTAGATTATCACCATAGGATGCACCTTTCCTGTAAAGTGCATTCCACTCATTTATTAGAAACCAGGGCCTCTTAACAGACCAGTGTCCCAACCTGGCCTTGCAGAGTCTTTTCCTGCATTAGGGTTCCTCAGCTCTGATTCTAGCAGAACCACCAGGTCCTCAGAAGCAGCTGCAAGCCCATTATGCCTTGCAGAATTTAGTTTGTCAACACAAGCCTTTGCCACATGTGTAAAATGCACCCAGTTCAGTGCTCAGCCATCTGTTCACTGGGAGCAGACACAAGCCTCATTTTCAGCTACATGGGGCATTACTTTGTATCAGGGAATTTCAGCAACCCTCTGACCTGCTGACCACAGAACCTGAACCATTGCTTCTGGGCAGGGCAAGTCATCAGCAACTCATTCTGTTGCTTACCCCCAGATTTCTCAGCCACCAGAATAAGACATAGAGTGATTCAGGGAAGGCTCCAGCACCACTTCAGATCATAGAAGACACCAGAACCTGTATGCACCATCATGCAAAAACCTGGAATGCTGTCAGAGAAGGACACATAGACAATAAAAACTCCAGCTACACCAGAGCAAAACCAAAGCAAACAATGAGGAGAAAGAAAAATACAATGGCCAGGCAAGCCATTGTATATAGACTACAGAGAGAAAACAAACCCCAGGACCAAACCACAAAAGCGTGGTAGATCTTCTTTATCTAGCAGACATAGAAATCAGTATGGCCACTGTTAAGAAAACTAAAGAATGGGAACACAAAGAAAACTTAGAAAAAGAAATGTAAATTGTGAAAAACACAATCAACAAACAGAAGTTTGAAAATGAACCTTTGAACAAAAAATAAAGCTATAGCAGGAGGTAGCAAAAAATTCAAGAGAAAGCCATGGAAGTAGAATAAATTAAATAGAAGAACAAATAAGTGATCTCAAAGATTAAAAAGAACTAAGAAGAAAGACAGGAAAGAAAGAAGAAACAAACAAAAAAGAATGAAGAAACACTTCAGGTATTATCTGACACCATGAAGAAAGAAAATACGAGGATCATAGGAACCCCAGAAGGAGAACAGAGAGAGAAGGGAACTAATACCTTATGTAGAGAAATAGTAGATAAGAACTTCCCATGAATATAGAAATGAGGGCCTCTCTGAAGGCTCAAGCAGCTAAGCACAACACTATAAATCTATCAGCAGCCTCTACAGCATGAGTTCTATCCCCAGCTGGACAGGGAGCCACCCACATGGCACAGCAGACTTTTCCTGCCATGCCTGCTACTCCCCTCAGCAGTGTATTTCAGTCAGTCTGCCTGTTCTGTTCCCTGCTCTGTCTCTGGTGAGTCCTCTATAGGTCTGGCCTGTATTCTAGTTCTTATATGCATAAATAAATAAATATTAAGAAAAACATAGAAATGAACATAGAAACACAAGAAACAAAACAAACAAACAGACAAACAAACAAAATAAAAAACCAGCCAGCTACCTAGATGAAAGGAAAATTATAGTAAGACAAATAACAGTAAAACTCTCACAAGTCCAAGACGAAGAAAAAATAATGAAGTTGATGTGGTGGAACAAACAGATCCTATAAAGGAACACTGATTAAATTAACATTGAATTTCTCCAAAGAAACACCAAGTGAAAAAAGAAAATGGGATGAAGTATATAAAATATTATAGGAAAACATGCCAGTTAACATCACTCTATTGTGCAAGGCTCTCTTTCTGTTTAAGAGAGAAATAAGAACCTTCCTGCCGGAGTCCAGCTCTGACTGGGGCCGAGTTTCCGTAAGGACTAGGCCGTGTAGGTGAAGTGGAATGATGAGGGGAGGGGAAATGAGAAGAAAAAGACACTTGATAGGGTGCAAGTATCTTCCACTGATAGCCTCAGTGGGGCTTTATTTATAACATTAGAAATTGTTATTAGATCATTACATCATGCCATCATGATTGATTTTACTTTTACATTGTTTCAGAAATTATTTTCTTTTCTGTTTTTAATAATTTATTTATTTATATATATTTTACATCACTGTTCAATTTTTTACATTGTTTGCTTTCTTTCTTTTTTTTTAATATTAAATTTTATTTTTATATTCCCCCATACAATTGCAAACGCCCCATTCTGACCCCAATCCTTCCCCTCCCCCCCCACCCCCAAAAAGTGTCTCTGGTTCATAGTTTTTTGTTGATTTTGATTTTCACTTTCTTATATTCATTTTCCTGGTCCCTTATTTAAGTTTTCTAGATTCCTGCTATGAGTGAGACCATCCGGTATTTTTCTTTTTCTTTTTGGCTTGTTTCAGAAATTATTAATGATCATTAACAGTGCACAGTCATTTTTCTAATTTTCCTAGTCTATGATTAACTTGGTCACTTGGTTACATTAACTTGGTTACCTTATTTTCAAGGTGATGTATGTTATTCAGAAAATAGAAACAGGTGCTATATGCAACGTGATTTATGCAGTCAAGCTACATAACTAAAACAAAGCTAAGCAGGCATTGTAAAATCGAGGGCAGCCTTCTATTTTCTATATAGAACCAAGGGGTCCCAGTACCATGGGAACAGTATGTGGTGTGTTTCTCTCAGACCATTTTGCCTCCCAGGGCGCCTCAGGACCTTCTCTTGTGGGGATTTCTACTGGGCTCAGTTCCATCAATTCTATCAACTGCAGTTTGTTGGAGAACTCAATGTTACTCATGGTAACTGAATTACAAATTGGAGGACATGGAGAAATATTGGAAACTGTTTCATTATCAATCATGTTAGAAGGTACATTTTTTCAAACTACTGAAGTGTGCATTACTGAAACTGGCACTGATGCCATCATCATTGTGTTAGTCTAAAACTTATAGAAAATTCCATGGTTTCAATAATTGGCACAAACAAATGAAAGGAAGTAGCAGGAGCCAGCTATGGAGCTTTCTGGCTTTTCAGAAATTTCCCCCATGCCTGGACCTTGTCAGACAGCATGGGTAGCATGGCCCACGCCACCTTCCTACACAAAGAAAATCTTAGGGAATATGTGTCCACTAAACCATTCCTCCAGGAAATATTGAAAGTTTTATAATCTAAACCAGATATAGGAATGAACACAAGGAACTGAATAAGGAATTAAATAGAACTACGAAGCTAGGAAGAAAATGGCAGCAATGGACACTTGTTAATAGTCACTG